AGTCTGAGACCCCGTAACTTCTGGAGCTGCAATTATAAAACTTGTTCTGAACACCTTAAAATGTAGGCTTACAGATCGACAGCTACCTAAACTATGAAATATCATACCAAGTAGTTTTCCAAGTCAGGTCACATCACAGCCACCCTTCATCTTGTTTTTCAGGTATCTTTAACTGAACTAATTAAGCTAACTGATGCAGCTTTAACAAGCCAGGTAATGATAACCAGCTAGGCTCTTCATAGTGAATAAGCAAACCTCAGTCACTAGGAAAAGTTTATATCCACCTTTCCTTCCACCCATGCATTCTTTAGGCATTTTAAAGATGTATCAGTCCTTTTCAGAAACCAGCTACTATCCCCTCACTGTTTAGAAAAACAAACAAAGACATTTAGACACCAAAACTTGATTTTGTAAAAGAAGTATCTTAGCTTTGGGTAAAAGCCAAGTGATAAATGTGTAGCTACTCCAGCTTGTAAGTCATGTTTTCTTTCAATGCTGCAGTCACACCTTTTGCTAATTTGCTTTTAAAGAAAATGGAGGGAAAAAAGGCTGCAGAAACTTACTTTGAAAGGTGCATGGAAGTGGCATCGCTGTATGAGAAGAAACATATTTGCTTTATCGAGGCCCTACAACAGAAAAATTCAGGAGAAGGTGAAAGTGATGAAGAGCCAAGTTTGTCTTATGTCCAAAGTTAAGTCGCAGTCTAGACTTGTTTATCAGATACACGAGCCTTATATACTTAAATATTATACATACTCATTTATTTCTCCACCACAAGATATTGTTTCAGGTAGCACTAAAGTTGTAATAACTGTGACAAGAACCATTTCTAGTTAAAGAACAGTATCAGGCGATGCTTCCCTGTTTAAGGATCGTCTTCACGGGATAAACGGCTGCATGCAGCTGACGAACGGCCAATTCCTTACATGTGGAAAAAACCTGATCCTCACCCACTGAGGAGTGGAAGCCTCATCGCACCCCAAGCTGCAGGTGCGCTACCTGAAAGGGGGGACAAATCTAACCGGGAAACGCGAGCGGCTCACCGGTGGACTTGACTCCTCAGAAAAGGGGAGCAGCTCCGCCCGCCCAGAGCCCCAGCACGGAGGAAAAGGGGAGAGGAGAAGCTCTATGTAAGGAGGGATGCGGGCCTCACGGGGCCGAGGCGGTCACCGCGGCCTGGCACGGAGGAGTTAGGCCCGACCGCGGTGCCACCCATCAGGTCCAGCCCGTGTTCTCCCCAACTAGCCCGGCCCTCTACCTCGTACCTCCTTGCTGAGACAGCTTCCGGTGCCCCGGGAAGCGCTCCGAAAGGGCCCGACGCTCCTAGTCCGGGCGGGAACAAGCGCAGCCC